CGGCAGACAAATATGAAAACGTCTGTTCTTACAAATCTATCGTTTGTGTTGCGGCAAAGTTATCAGATTTTAGAAAAAAATTTAATGGATGGAAGACTTATTAAATTAACACAGACTTAAATACAAAAATCTGTGTTATGAGGTAATAGAATTATTGAGATTGCCAGACTTATTAATTCTTCGCAGACATATTTAAAAAATCTATCTAACGTCTTGGCATTGTTCTTCTTGTTTGGCAGACTAACCCTTGAATGACAGACATTTTGTTAAAATTTGTCATTAGTGACGACAATTTTTTAAAGATTTGATAGATTTACATAGCCGTTATAATAACTCTACCACAAACTTTAGGGTTTTTTCATAGACTTATGTGTTGCAATGGTGATAAAGTTTTATCAATGACGACAGAAATTTTAGGAATTCGAATAAGTCTATCTTTACTAGATTTATTTTGTTAACATAGTTAATTACTAGAGTAACTCTTACGTTGTGGCAGAATTTATTTATAGTTATGGTAAAGTTATTTTTTTTCATTGTTTGATAACAGACTTACACAATTGTCTTGATAGCAAACATATTTTCTTACTAGAACAACTTTTTATTGATAACAAACTTATACACCGCAGACTTCTCTCGTGTAGTGGTGGCAAAGAAATATTAACAGACTTATTATATAGTTATGGTAGTTTTATGCTGTGCATTAGTGGTAAAGTTGTTATGCCAATTTTAATTCTCGTGTTGCAGCAGATTTGAATTACAAAATGAAATTACAATAATACCACTACGCTTTAGGGTTGCAGGTATCTTTCTCGACCTTCGATAGTTGTAGATGAGTAATTAGATTTCAGGAAAGAAAAGTTATCTGTATTGGCTTTGAATTTTCATCGATGGAGCAAGTAATTATTGTATGTGGTAGCTGGCGTTTTGAAAATTCCAGGTGGTTATTCGTGGTTGACAATTCTAGAGGCTGCAAAATTCTGGGTGCTTCTAAAACAACAAGGTATGTCGACTTTCTTCAAATGGTGTTTGAGGATTACGGTTTAGATCGGAAAACTCACGACGTGAAGCTCAGTTACATGTTTCCGAAGAGGATTTTGAGTAAACTGCCGTTGCATACACCACCTGTGTTTGTCGAAAATTGTAGACAGTTTCAGGGTTTCTTAGGACATCACAGAACAGATACCGTTCAGATGTGTGTTGAAATTATCGACAAAGTCGCAGATAATGATATTAAAGCAGACAGTCTCGAAAATTTACCACAAGAGAATTCAAATGTAGACGACAAGGTTCAGGTTTCCATTGGTAACAATGAGAATCTGGACGAAGATGAGGAGTTTAGGTTTGATTGTTGTGATGATTCAGATGGAGCGACTTCTGAAGACGAAGACTTTAGCGTTTACGGAAAATGTATTGAAGAAGAGCAGGAGAAACCAACTTTACCTCCAAAAAAAAGGGGCTCAACCGCTGCAGCAATGGAGCAGGCGAAGCTTCAACCACATGTACAGCTTGAATTCAACTCCCTCAACCTAGCCGTCGGACAAAGATATGAATCCAAATCTGAATTGGAGACAAGATTAAAGATTTTATCAGTCCTGAATAAATTTGATTTTGTTGTCGATAAGTCGACACCAGTCCTACTAGTGGTTAAATGTTGGATTGAAGGGTGTGACTGGAGAGTACGAGCATCACCTGTCGGAGATTCTCCTGCATTTTATGTTCGAGTATACGTTTCAGAACACACGTGTTCAGTAACTGATCGGTCATCTCGTGCTCGAAAGGCAACACCAGACATTCTTGCAATGTTGTACAAAGATCATGTGGGTGGTATTGAATCAACTCATAATTGACTAGAATAAATTCCCTTCTCTAAATTCAATTGTTACACCATAAACCGACAACAAGTCTTTCAAACAAGGTCCTTCTGCTGTAGATACACCCATCTCGCCCCAGAACTCCTTGTGGTCAATATCCCAAGTGTCTTCAGCATCAAATGGATCTATGCTCATGCCAGTTATAGCGCCATACTCATACAAGGAAAACCGAATTAGTTTATTTCCAACCAAACACCACATCTCATGATTCCTCTTCGTAGATAACTGATAATCAGCTTCGTAAAGCTTGATGATAACCCCAATCACTGATTCTCTCATGTCGTTCCAAACATCCAGCCCAACTGAATCTCTGATCTGACTGAAGTTGACGAAGTGAAAATTGTGATTCATACTCTTCTTCTGGATTGGTGCTTGTCCCTCTTCATATGCTCGTGGAGGATAGTTTTTTTTCTCACTTGAATTGGCCATACCTGAAAAATCTGCCATTAGTTGATTTGAAACTTTGTCATCAATCAAACTAGAAGAACACCATAGCAAATTTACCAAACAACTTTACCACCACCAAAACTAAATCTAACATTCTAAAAGGCTATCATCGTACTACTAACAAATGTATCATCATTAAATCGACTTCTCTATCATCATCATCATGACAAGTCTGTCAACAGTTGTTAAAAAGTCTATATGAATTCAAAATCATCTTTGCCATAAAGTGTTACTAAGTCTGTCCTCACTTTTGAAAATTTTATCATATACATGTAACAACTTTATCACCAAGTGGACAATAGATCTACCAAATCTGCTAACCAATAAATTTGACATACATAAGAAAACATAATCGGGAATCCATCATCATTAACATGCCAAATCTATCAACAGTTCATCGAGTGGGAACAAGTGGGAATCAACTTTGCCATAAACTATTACTAAGTCTATTGTTTATTGGGAACAAGTTTATCATGCATTTGGCACAACTTTATCATCAAGTGGACAACAGATCTAAAAATCTGCTGCTACTAAATACAAAAGCCGACAAATTTGACATGCATAAGAAGAAATAATCCTCATCCAGAAGAAAAAATAACTCAGCAACTCAACTATGGCGCCGAAATTCAGAAACAAAAAATAAAACACAGGAACACAGAAACAAAATTAATCGGATTAAAATGGTGTTTCAAGTACCGGAATAGAACTGACGGCGGCCGTGAAGGAGAAAGATGGTTGGAAATTGCTTTGTAGAGTTCGCCGGTTAGTACTCTTCCCCTTCTACTCGCGAAAGCTTCAAACAGATTATCCGACGGAGAAAACGACACCAGAATAAGTCTTCAGAAGTCGGAAATTGCTTTGTTTGATTCAGCAGCTAGGTCACAAGTTTTTTTTTTACGAGAGGTTTTTTAGAAGAATGCAATCAAGAAGAGAGATTTTCGGGGAAATGATGAGGATAGTGAGGAAGATTTAGGAAACTGAATCCTTTCCCCTCCGATATTATGTTCGATTTTTTGAAAAAATATTTTAAATTATGATTGTGTAATTAAGTTATTTTGCTCTTGCTAAATTAATTTAAAATGGCAATTTTGTGATTAAGAATACTAATTATGGTTTAGTGGTACTTTTAATGAAAGATTAGAGTCAATCTAGTAAACTTTGAAAGGAGGAGTCATTCTAGTAATATTTGCTAAAATTAGAGTCAATTGGGGTAATTTCTCAAAAAAAAAAATCGAGTTACCTCTTTCTCCCAGACATTTCATTGTAATAAAAATCAATATCAATGCCTGAATTGCAGTTTCTCCAAATATCCACCAGCCCAAATGCCTTGTTAACATATTATCGCAAGGTTCACAACAGACATGCATACAGAGAGAAAAGATTAAATTTTAACTACTGATAGCAAATCGACAAAGGAGATTGGACAACCTTAATACCAGACTTGAAAATGCAGCCCATGGCAAGTCCAAGTGGCAGTCCAATGAAATAGTAAGACCATGTTTATTAGAGAGACCCACATAAATCTTTTAAGTATTATTTAAGTAGTATTATTTAGTTAAGAGACTTATTAAGAAATATTGATTAATGTAGAGGTACATTAGAGAATCAGAGAAAGAGGAAAAAAAATTGGGAAAAAGAGATGAAAAGAAAAAGGGGAAAAAAAAAATTGGGTTGTCTAAAAGCAACCCAATTAGGGCCCGCCACGTACTCACTAAGAGATTTTTCTCGTATATCAAATAAGAAACGTTTTTGTTGATTAATGCTATTTTTGATTTTTTTTTGGGCTAAAAAATCTTAAAAATCCACTAAGAAATGCCCAATAAACATGCTCTAACATCCTAATTTATGTATGTTACATATGTTTGCCAACCTGAAACATAGGCCGACCTAGAGCATAGGTGATATAGGCGACGGCTTTAGGCATCCAACTTTAAAGACATAATTTGGTTAAAATATTTTTATAAGAAATATATAAGTAAACAAAACTGTAGGTTTTTTAAATAAGATAATGATATTTGTAGATTTTTTTGGTAATGTTATCGGCTTTTCTCTAAAAATATATTAGTTAATGAGTTAGGAGACGATTGAATGAGTTAACTTTGTTAGATATGAGAGTTTAGTGAATAATTTTGTAGGAAAAAGTAAAAAAAACCATATTTTAATAATAAAATATTAGTTTTATTGTTTTTTTAATAAGTGTATAAACTATTTATAGAGTTGATCTGTTAGGTGGGTTTCTTCTATGCTTGAAACGTTTGTTCCCGGCGGCTGTTCCGGTCTATCTCCCCACAAGCTACCTGTTTCAACAGCTTGTAACTATTGGTACGGTGGTTGTGGCTGTTTTCGTTGCCACTTATGGACCCTTTGTCTCACATGGACAGGTTAGTGTAGTTCCTTTTTATTTGACGGATCAGAAAGTTCTGTTTTTGCTTTCTGTGTTATCATCGGTAATGTCCTCAGACAAATAAGAAACGATTCTATTTTTATTCACATAGAACAAACTCAAACAACCAAATAAAGAATTCTAGGGTCAAGTCTATAGCATTCTTAACCATTTTTGTTCAAAATAAACTATTAATTTATCCTTAAATCAGCTATTCCCATTTATATAAACGAAATCAGCAACAGAAAAAAAACTTTAAGAGAATTACGATAATGAAAAAAAAAAAAACAAAACACAAGTTATATGAAGAAGAGTTCCTGCATATCAAACCATAACAGCTAGAGATTTCCTAAAGTAAAAGTTCTCATAAAAGATACCATGATCAAACCACTCAATTTTACCCCAAATCTCTCCTCCTTGATGTGTTTCCAGCGAAATCTCCGCACACAAATCTCAGTTGTTCTTCCTCCAACTTGGAAAAATAAAGCCAGTTTCCCACCGTAACTCACAGTGTATGGCCAGCCTAAAAACTTAGACAACAACTTTTCCAAACCTTTCACCACTCTCCAACACTTTTGGGCTGGATCATACGCTCTTAACTTGTAGTTCTCATCCGGATTTAGGGAGTACAATACGTCATCAACAACACATGCATCCCTCCACTTCTGAAAATTCAGCATCTCGTCTGTTTCCCATTTACATTCCTTTGGCTCGTAAACAAAGCTATTATGATCATCCCTCGTGTACAGCTTATCGGCCATCACCACACAACCATACGACCACGTGTCACCTAGCTCAACGCCTGGCTTTATAACCCTAGACTCCCACTTTTGTGATTTTGTATCGAACACCACCATCACCTTCTCCAAGACATAATTACCGCCATCTCCAATTATGTAGATTCTACCATCGATAACGTCAGCGACCGTACCAGACATTGGCACAGGCATGTCGGGGAGGCGTTGCACCGTGTGAGATCTGCAGTCGATACTTAACGCCATATTGTTCTGGTCCCCACCAAACATATATATCCTTGGACTCACTGCGACAAAGCTTCCACGGTAACGCATAGCGGGAAGCGAAGGGATAAGGACCAAGCGTCATCACGCCTTTCCCTGTTATAGAGGAGAACATAGAGACGACAGCGTTTAGTGCAGCCCAACAAGGATCGTGTAGCGTATAGCTCATCGGATGCAAGGAGTGATCTGAAGTGCTTTGAAACTTGAGAAAGTGTTTGATAGTGGCAACTCGGTACACGGGCTAAGATGTCAATGATGATTTCTTCGGGAAGTAAAGTAATCAGAGATTCTGGTTTCGACGTTTTCTCCTCCTCTGCTTTAACTTTGGAAGACATGTGTAGATTTAGGCGAGGGAAGCGCAAAACCCTAACTGTAGGCTCAAATCTACATTCACCGAGAAAGAGAGCAATCACTAATATACTATTAAATAAGATTATTTTAAATTTAGAACATACCAGTTTAATTCAAGAAGCTGCCAAGGCACGACAAGTCCGTCTAAAAGAAGAACGAAGAAAAAGCTTGGTTTGGTGTTCGATCGAGAGAAATAAGACGACAACCCTTTTGTGGCTTTTTCTTTTTCCTTTTCTTATCGGTTTCCTCTCATCTTTTGTAAATTTTTTTTTATTTTTTAATTCTTTTCTCTGTTTTATTAATTCATTAAATAATGAAAACTTGGAAACAAAAAAGGTAAAATTTCTTACCACTTTTGGATCTCTAGTGAAAGAACCAAACCTAATAAACAGCATGTGGATAAAGTTTCTCGTACATAGAAAATATTTGGAACTTCTTGAAAAATTCTACTCACACAAAAAAAAAGACAGACTATAAGAAAGGAATATCTTGGATTGGATGGAAATGCATGGTTTATCTAAAAAACAAACGAGGTTTCAGATTTCAAATTTCAATTAGGTTTTTCAGGCGTTTCTTGCACAACAAGCATAGAGAATCATCAAACATTCGGACAATCTCCTATCAAAAGTAATGCGAACTGGTACAGTATTTTCTGAATGGAGATTTGTACGCCAAGGCTCTGAAATTTTCTCAGTGAATGAGTCGTTAAAACAGAGGGTTTCTTCGAAACTGAGTAAACGTATAGTGGCCGATGAAAGAAGCATTGAGACTCGGATCAAAAACTTGTGCTTGGTGGGACCAAATGAACGGAAGTTGTCTTTTTTAATCACCCTAGAGACAGTGACGGAGCTGTTCTTTTGTGAAGTTGACTGTACTTTTTAATCTCAAAATCACCAACTCTGATATTGCTATTCTCTTTTGATACGTGCATGCAGGGCTCGGTATATCCCTTTGTTGAGTTTGACAAACCAATGTAATTTGATTTGGATTTACGAAGAGTAGAAACCTGAACTGTTAAAATGTGATTTTGATGAAGAGCACGTCACCTATAAACTTGAATTACAAGAAAATGTGTTTATATATCCATAGTCTTCCCTGAATAGCATTTGAGAACAAAAAAAACAACTACAAGACGCATTGAATGAATAAATATTTGTTAGAAACATATTCAAGCTTCTTCTGTTCATCGACTTCAGAACTGCATAGAAATATCAGAATATATTCTTCTACATAAACTTATTAGAATAAGAATGCATATATACATAGGTATATTAGGAATCTGATTTATCAGCATATATTCTCATCAATGCAATAAGACCAATCACCGATTGGAATTAACTCAATCAATTACTGCTAGCACTTTCTGCATTCTTCCTACCAATTTTACTTTTTGGAGGAGATTGATCAAAAAACAGAGGCAGCGAGAATCAGTCACAGAGAGTTGATGGTCCAACAAACTGAAACAGATAACCAGATCGAGAATTCTGTAGAGTTGATGGTATACTTTTTCGTTCAAAATAAACAAACTAGTTTTTCCTCAAATTAAATCATCTATTTTCATTTACATAAACCGTTATCAGCAAAAAGAGATTTTAAGATAATGAAAAAACAAAACACAATAGATCAACTTACCAAAAGGTTCTGTGGTTTCACATCTCTGTGGCAGACACCAGGAGCAGTATGGATATAGGCCAAGCCTCTGAAGATCTGCACAACATATTTGCTAACCCGTTTCAGAATCACTAAGAAAAAAGCAAGAATATTTGTGGCAGATAACAATGCATACTTGACATGTGTAAAGTTTGACATAGAAAATAAGCATCCTCTGGTTTGAATTAGTATAGTGCTTCAAAACCCGGAACAAAGTCTCGGGTACACTCCATAACAAGGTTGAGGAAGAGCTCATCTCTACTTGTTGTAGAGAAGAAACAATGCTTCAAATAAACCACATTAGGGTGGTCCATTAGTCGCATTAATTGCAATTCACGATTTATGTAGCGCCGATCTTGCAAAATCTTCTTAATGGCTACTGACTCTCCAGTTTCCAAACACTTCGCCTAGAATGGTAAGTTCATAAATTAATCAGAAATGGAAGAAAAAGATATTGCCTAGAACAGCTAGCAGTGACAACCACAAAAGTTACCTGGAATACAATTCCAAATTAAAAAATCCTGTCATGCATCGGATTTCTTCTCGAGTTGGAGTACCAAGAACCTGTTCCTCAATCCCTTCTGTAATGAGCTGTCAAGTCCAGCTGTCTTAGCTCTAGAATCATCTATTGTCTGTATAAATATGAAGTGATGTAGAAACCTTAATCTTTAAACTTATACACTCCAAAACCAGACTTCCCCACATCAGGTTAGCAATCTGAAATCTTATATAAACTATCATAGACATAAACCTTAGAGCTAACACTGTTCTCTAATCACCCTTACCTCAATATCATGGTACAGATGGCGAGCTTGTTTCTGCTACTATTAAACCCAGAAGCAGCAGCATGTTTGCAGTCAAGTGAGAATTCTTGATTATACCCATATCTCTGCATCCTGTTAAAGTTGAGGTTCCATGCATTTTCATTGCTGGATGCTTGTGAACGCATACCAAAATTTGGATGTTTTGTTGTGGGTATAATCCAGAAATTTCATTTGGCTGCAAACATGTTGCTGCTTCTGGGGTTAATAGTAGGAGGAGGAGGTTGTGGCGGTGGTGGTGGAGGAGCTTGCTAGATATCTCTTTGATACTTTTTCAGAACGTATTTGTATTTATGACCGACTTGCTTAGAATATCTAGGCATACCCTAGCACAATTTGTGCATAATCTATTTATTATTATGGTAAAAAGTATGACCAGTGACAAATTTCTATTTGCTTTAGTATCGCATCAGATTATTGCATCATCTTATTAGGGCATCTCCAAAAAGGACTTCAAATTTGAGGTTGGCCAAATTTCAAATTTAAGGTTTGATGGTGTTTGTCTCCAAAAGCAAAACCTCAAATCTTCTATCACAAAATTTAAAATATTGCATTATAGTCCTTACTTTTAATTATTATTAATAAAAATTATATAACTTTATAAATAACAAAAAATATATTAAAAGTATCATTTACTAAAATTACATTATAAACTTTATAATAAAATAAAAAATTACATTATAAGATAAATTTACATAAACAGAATTGTTTGGATTAAAATGATAACATAAAAAATAAAGTAATTATTTATGAAATATATAATTGTAAGGACTAAAATGTAAATAAAAACTGCAAACTTCAAATTTGAGGTTTTGAACAGTGAAGGTTTCACTGTTCAAAACCTCAAATTTTGAGGTTTTAAGGTTGTTTTTGGAGTGAACAAAACCTCATATTTGAAGATTTAAGGTTACTTTTGGAGATGCCCTTATGCCACTTTAATAGTTCTATCGTTTGTATTTCACTATATATCATGTTATAATTTCTTTATGACGTTAACATGTTATAATATAATGGAAAAGTTAACTGAAAATGAGAATATAACTGAAATGTAATAGTATAGAATGGAAACCAGTAATCGAGGAGTTGTCATCCATTTTTTTTTGTTGTTGTTCATTTAGGTGAGTTATCATCATTTTAACATAAAGCCATATATTTCTTGTTTTTTCAAGCTCAAACATATTTCATATAAATTCGTTTCTCCTTCTCAACCAAAGAATATTTCATATGAAGAGGTTTTATTGGCTGTTAGATCAACACACTGGTTGGCTTATCTTCCTTGGAAAGTGATGGTTAATCGAATTAATCTTTTTCTTGTCTTGTTGATTTCTCTGGTATAGACTATAAACCTTGACCATTCTCAAGGTTCAGCTAACGCTTTCACCAATATCTTTGAATTCACTCTCGAAAATTACCTCTTCATAGCTAAGATTATCCAAACATGTCATAATCCAAAGAAGAGTTGTAGCTTCTGCCTCCATAATGTTTCAACAATTTTTTCGAGAAATTTTGAGCTCAGCCTAGAAATTAAAATGAATGACAAACAAAAAAAAATATCGTGAACTTTTGCAATAAGAATTATGAAATGTAGAATGAAATTTTGGAAGAGACTCATATAGATCATATAGATCAAATTAAGGAGAAGAGAGTTCCTTAAATCAAACCATTACAGCTAGAGGATTCGCAGAACTAAAATTCTCATCAGTCAAAACTTGATCACACCACTCAACTTTACCCCAAATCTCTCCTCCTTGATGTCTTTCCAGCGTAATTTCCGCACACCAAATCTCATATGTTTTTTCTTTAACTTTATTGAGAAACAAAGATATTTTCCCACCGTAACTCACAGTGTATGAAGACCATGAATATGTCATATCAGGCAGACTCTTCCAAACCTTTCACCACACTCCAACACTTTTGCTTTGGATCGTAAGCTCTTATCTCGTTCTCGTACCGATCGTGGTAGTACAATACGTCATCAACTACACACGCATACTTCCACTCCTTAGAATTCAACATCTTGTCCGTTTCCCATTTGCTCTTCTTTGGGTCGTAAACAAAGCTGTAATCATAATCCCTCATGTAAATTAACTACAAGACGCATTGAATGAATAAATATTTGTTAGAAACATGGTTAAGCTTCTTCTGTTCATCGACTTCAGAACTGCATAGAAATATCAGCATATATTCTTCTACATAAACTTATTAAAATAAGAATGCATATATTCTCTACATAGGTGTATTAGGAATCTGATTTATCAGCATATATTCTCATCAATGCAATAAGACCAATCACCGATTGGAATTAACTCAATCAAACACTGCTAGCACTTTCTGCATTCTTCCTACCAATTTTACTTTTGGAGAGATGGATAAAAAAAACAGAGGCAGAGTTGATGATCAAACAAACTGAAACAGATAACCAGATCAAGAATTCTGTAGAGTTGATGGTATACTTTTTCGTTCAAAATAAACAAACTAGTTTTTCCTCAAATTAAATCATCTATTTTCATTTACATAAAACGTAATCAGCAAAAAGAGATTTTAGGATAATGAAAAAACAAAACACAAGTTATATTAAGGAGAAGAGAGTTCCTTAAATCAAATCATTACAGCTAGAGGATTTGCAGAACTAAAATTCCCATCAGTCAAAACTTGATCACACCACTCAACTTTACCTCAAATCTCTCCTCCTTGATGTCTTTCCAGGGAAATCTCGGCACACCAAATCTCATATGTTTTTTCTTTAATTTTATTGAAAAACAAAGATATTTTCCCACCGTAACTCACAGTGTATGAAGACCATGAATATGTCGTATCAGGCAAAGATTCTTCCAAACCTTTCACCACACTCCAACACTTTTGCTTTGGATCGTAAGCTCTTATCTCGTTCTCGTACCGATCGTGGTAGTACAGTAAGTCATCAACTACACACGCATACTTCCACTCCTTAGAATTCAGCACCTCGTCTGTTTCCCATTTATTCTTCTTTGGCTCGTAAACAAAGCTGTAACGATAATCCCTCATGTAAATCTTATCAGCCATCACCGCAAAACCATACAACCACGTGTTCCATAGCTCATTGTCTAACTTTATCACCTCAGGCTCCCACATCTGTGTTTCTGTATTGAACACCACCATCACCTTCCTCAATCTATCATTATGGCAATATCCAATTATGTAGATTCTCCTATCAATGATGCCAAAGATTGTATCAGACATGGGCACAGGCATGCCTGGGAGGGTTTGTACCGTGTGAGATCTGCAGTCGATGCTTAACCCCATATTCTTCTGATCCCCACCAAACATATATATCCTCGGACCCACTTGGACAAAGCTTCCACGGTAACGCATAGCGGAAAGCCAAGGAATAAGGACGAAGCAGCGATTGCCGTTGGCTTTCCGGCGGAGAATATACCATTTGTACTCCTTGGTTTTTCCCTTAAAGAGGACAACATAGAGACAGTGTTCGGTGCAGCCCAACAATGATCGTCTTGTGTATAGCTCACGGGACGCAACGAGTGATCGGAAGTGCTTAGAAACGAGAGAGAGTATTGGATAGTCGCCTCTAGGTACACGCGCTAAGATGTCAATGATGACGTCTTCGGGAAGTGACGTAATCAGAGACGACGATGATTGCTCCTTCTTTGCCCTAATTTTATAAGACATGTGTAGATTAGCCGAGGAAAGCGCAAAACCCTAATTGTACGCCCAAATCAACAATCAGCGAGAGGAAGAAAGAGAGAAAGCGAGCAAATATCTCAAGTTTTAGTTTGATAAGAGCTAGAGAGATACAGAACACGAACGCAACCTTTAAAATCGTGACCTTTTTTTTTCTTTTTATAGAGTTTACCTTTACCTTTTCCTTTTCTGTTGGAGTTCATGTTTCCTCTTTTATCTTGGAAGTTTTATTTTGTTTTTTTTTTTGAACAACGGAAGTTTTATTTGTAATTAATTATTTTTTTCTGTTTTACTAATAAAGAAAAGAACGAGAGGCCAAGTTCGGAAGCAGATCGCTGGATAGCCCTGGGCATTCGGATACCCGATCGGGTATTCCGGATTTTCGGATTTGAATTTTATAAACCATTCGGTTATTTCAAAAAATTCGGTTTGGTTTGGATCGGATCGGATTTAACAAATAAAAACCGAAATAAACCGATAAAATTTGAAATCGGATAACTCGGGTTAGTTAAATCCGACAAACCCGAAAATCCGAAAAAAAATTTCTGCAAAAACCGAAATTGCTATAACAAATAAAACTTAACAAAAATAGCAAAAATGGATCAAACTCCAACAATCTTAGTTCACACTAAAATATCAAACTCCAAACCATCTTAGTTCATACTTAGTTTAAGAATAAAAATCCAAACCATCAAAGTCCAAATCATCTTAGTTCATACTAAAATATCAAAATGACAAAGAGAATAAGCAGAAACTGAGATAGTGCATAACTCCAGCCTCCAAAAAGTGTGAACTTCATAGCAAATCAAAGATGCATCTGAAAAGACAAAACCGATCTTTAAATAAAATTAGAAACCAATACAAATGATATAACAAAACAAAACCAAGAAGCTTCATCTGCTTTGGTTGCTGAGAAGCAGAGCCTTCACCGGTTTGTTTTCTTTTTCCTCCACTCGCAGGTGTTTCAATCTCATCATCATCAAGATCTTCATAAGGACCGTGAGTGTTTGCTGCATCTGTGCTCGTAGGGGTTGGTTCTGATGATGAATCCATCTGCAAATACATAGAGTTCAAGCTCGATTCAAACAAACTAGCAAAGCAATGAGTTTAACTACCACACGTCCACAGATATATACCTTTCCTAAACAAATCGAAACTAACTTTTGATCACCATATAACTTTTGCAAACAAATCGATATCAAAGCTATTAACATCTAACATCGAAATCGAAGCTATTAAACCCAAAATCGAAACTTAAAGCTATGAAAAACAAAATATAAATCAGAAAAACGAAATATAAACGAAATCAACTCTAGCCCTGGGCATAACACCGATTACCGAACACTAAAAAATAGCTAAATCGAGTTTGGGAAAGGGTTTTTACCTGAGACCGAATTCTCGATGCCTCAGAGATTGGAGTGAAAGGGGTTTTGAAATTAGATGAATCCAGATTGAAATTTTGTGTTTTTGCCCTAAATCGAGTTACAGGTTTGGGAAAGTGTCGTGAAAGAAGGAGAAGAAGAGACATTCTGGATGAAAAACAAGTTTTCTTTTATTTCGGGTTATATCGGTTTAATTTGGTTATCATCAGTTAATCTGAACCGAACCGATGAACCAAAGTAATCCAACATCATAACCATTCGGTGTTTTTAACGATCCGAACCCGATCCGAACCCAAATTTTCGGGTCGGTTTCGGATTAATTTTCGGGTGCGGGTTTTATGCCCAGGGCTATCGCTGGATGTGAGAAATATTTGACTTTCCTATTTAATCCTTATTATTGAAATGTTTGACAGACCAGCCTACATGTAAGACCACATTGAACCTTAAACTTTAAATATCTGGTTAAATACATATAGAACAAAACATCTGGAACAAAATAGAGAAACAGAATCAATCACAGAGAAGCCAAGACGGGGTAATGAAGATAATTGCAGCTTATGAATATGGGATTTATTACATTCTAAAGTGAAATGGCGTTTTCTGATAAAGAAACATGCAACAATGAAAGGAACTATATAATACTATTCTCCATCTAATTTTTGTCTCGTTTATTCTTTTTGGTACAACAATTTATTAATCAGAACATCAGTATCAGGATAGTATCAAAAACTCTGGAAAATCTAGACTTGAAAAGAACATCATCGTGATACATATATAGCATAAAAAGACAATACTCAGTAGTGTATTAAGGAAAACAAGACTTGTTCCACTGTTAACCAACTTAACGAGAGATTTTATCATATGTATTTTCATTGATAGGTTAAGTTATAAGACTTTACAATTATCAAACCTTTAAGTTCAGGGATTCAGTGATGATGAGGACATGAACCATCATCGGTTTTTACAAAAAACAAACTAAGACAAAGGGATAGATTCTGACTAAAAAAACACTAATCAGAGCTATCTACACTCTCATCAACAATTTAAACCCAAAAAAAAAAAAATCTCTCATCAATAAAGAGCACATATTCTCATATTTAAGTAAATGTTGTTGACATTCCTCACTCTTTCTTATTCAGATTTGTTTCTTTCTCTCTTTTTCTCTTTACTTTTGTTTATCTTTTCTCACGCTCTCTTTCTGCTTTAGTTCTCTCACTCTGTTTCATTGTTGCTGTTTGATTGTTTGAACACAAGAGAAAGAACAAACATAAAAGACTACATTTTTGATATTGATCAATTGTTCTTTGTTACAACACAACACATACACTTATACTACTTGGACTCTACTCTTAACCACTCCTTCTATGCCATACCTCTAGTCTTAGACTCTCTTACACAAGCCACACTACACTTGTTTAGACTCTAACCTCTCATCTTAGGACTTTAACTACTTAACTATTACACCAATTTTAGCTATGATAACTTAGACTTAATCTTCCCTACACACACAATCGACCATTATTTCCTTGGGCTGATGATGCTTTGCTGGCCCATTAGTCTAAAACAAGAAGCCCATTTCTTTTCTCCAATGTTGACTTTTTATTTCTTGGTTGACTCTCTTCTTCTTCTCTGATTCCTTCTTCCACGACAGAGACTTCATCTTCTTCCTTTCTTCTTCTAATTAAAGCTACTTTCTTGTTTGTTAGATTTAATCAAGGACTCAACCTTCAACACTCCCTCTTGAGTCCTTTGATTAAATCCCCAATTCAAATCTAGGGATTTGACTCCCATGGTTCTTCGTTGCTCATTCCTCTGCTCTTCAAGACATTTGTATAGCTTCTGGTAAGCTTATTACTCGATCTTTCTCTTGCTTTGTGTTTTCCTCCATTTTGCTTCTTCTTCCCTTTTGAGCTTCGTATCTCCCTCTTGAATGGATCTCCAAGATCTAATTTCTTTTTATACGAATTTATTAGCCCTCTCTTGACAGGATTTATTCGCAATCTTCGTTTGCTTTGTGAGCTTTCCTCACTTCTGATCAAGCTGCGTTTGCAACTAGTTTCTTATTATTCTTCTCCGACGACATCACTCTTTCCGCTGGTACTTCATCTGAGACATCTTCCATTGTCTCCCTCTTCGACGAACCTGAACAGGTTTGTTGCTTCTGGGGAGTCGAGCCACTGCCTTCTCCAATTTTACGCTTGCTTTACTCCCTCTTCTCCTTGAATCTCTCTGGATCCATCTTCATTTTTCTCTGCAAATATCTTTGCCATCTTTTGGCTGATTTTCTTTGCGATCTCTCCATTGTGTTATTGACCAATTTCTTGACCAACTTTTCTTCTCTTGCAGGAAACACGACTCTTGGGTTCTTCTCTTTTCCCGTAAGCCTTCTCCATGTCTCCTCCAAGTCTTGTCTGTGAATCTTCTTCACGTCACTACCACCGTGAACTTCCGTCACGTCTTCGTCGGCTTAGTTCTCCAGCCATCTTCTATTCTTCTGCTCCCTTTCACTCTTAGGTAAGCAAGCTTTCTTCTTCTGTAAGTTTCTTCTTTGATCACCAAGTTGTATCTTTCAGATCTTTGAATCATCACCTCAGTTTTCTTAGCCATAGTCTGTTTGGTTCTCTTGACCATCACCTTGACTTTCTTTAACCTTGGACTTTTTGATTCTCTGAACTTCTAGCACATACTCTGCTTCTCATCAAAAATACTTTACATTTGATCAGCTTCATACCTTTGAAATGAAATCCTTCTTCTCAAACCTTTCATTTGCAGGTTTGCTTGATTTTGATGCTGGTTTGTCTCCTCCATTTCTCTGATGGTTGAGAATTTCCAGCAACTCTGGCAGCTTCCTTGGTCTGCTTGTTGATGCCGTCATGTTGCCATCTTCACGTCATTCTGGGCTTTTTCAGCTTCCTTTCTCTTAGGTAAACTTCTTTTCCTTCTTGCTTGGTGTCCTCTTTGAACACCAATTTTTTTTTTTTTTTTTTGATTCTTAGAACCATCCCCTTCAGCTTTAGCTTTGGACCTTTTTGACTCTTGAACCATCACCTCAGCCTCTCTTACTGTAGTCTGTTTGGCTTCTTTTTTTGAGTCATCACCTTAGCTTTCTTAGCTTTAGTGGTTTGGCTCCTTGAATCTTCAATCTTAGTGGCTTTGTTTGGTTTCTAGAATCATCAACCTCAGCTTTTCCTGATTTGGTTTGTTTGATTCCTTTCACCACCACTTTGGTTTTCCAGCTTCTCTTTCTTTCTTTTTCTTTGCCTTACACATCTTTTTTTTTTGTGCAGGCTCCTTCTCTTCATCTCCAGCAGCAACCACTTTCATGGACTCTCCATTTCAGCTGCTGCAAGGTCTTCGGCATTGGAGTTTCTTCAGCTTCTCCTCTGTCTTCTTCTTCCTCCATCTTAGAGGTAATCTTCATGTACTCTTTTTTCTCCATCACAGCTTCTCCCTCATGGCTGAGAAGCAATTTCTCCATGGACCCTTTCTTCTTTCTTGAACAGGCTCCAAGGATAACTACAGCTCTGATACCATGTTGACATTCCTCACTCTTTCTTATTCAGATTTGTTTCTTTCTCTCTTTTTCTCTTTACTTTTGTTTATCTTTTCTCACGCTCTCTTTCTGCTTTAGTTCTCTCACTCTGTTTCATTGTTGCTGTTTGATTGTTTGAACACAAGAGAAAGACAAATATAAAGACTACATTTTTGATATTGATCAATTGTTCTTTGTTACAACACAACACATACACTTATGCTACATGGACTCTACTCTTAACCACTCCTTCTATGCCATACCTCTAGTCTTAGACTCTCTTACACAAGCCACACTACACTTGTTTAGACTCTAACCTCTCATCTTAGGACTTTAACTACTTAACTATTACACCAACTTTAGCTATGATAACTTAGACTTAATCTTCCCTACACACACAATCGACCATTATTTCCTTGGGCTGATGATGCTTTGCTGGCCCATTAGTCTAAAACACGAAGCCCATTTCTTTTCTCCAATGTTGACTTTTTATTTCTTGGTTGACTCTCTTCTTCTTCTCTGATTCCTTCTTCCACGACAGAGACTTCATCTTCTTCCTTTCTTCTTCTAATTAAAGCTACTTTCTTGTTTGCTAGATTTAATCAAGGACTCAACCTTCAACAAATGTGCTATATGACCCGAGAACTGTTCATAATTAAGGAAATAGGAAAATGCAACTATTCATTTACTGTGCTTTTCTCAATATGGCAAGAGTACCCCTATTCCCCCTAACTAAAGCGTTCTGTTCATGCACGTTCTTGATAATATCTATTGTCAGAATAACGATTTTTGTTAATTTAAATTTCAAATTCAAACTTCAATTAGTTATTACATCGTTACATACACTGATATGGTGTTATACAGAATAATGTATGTTATACAGTAACGTCGTTTAGGATAATATCTCTGGACCCAGATAGAGAATCCACAAAAATCCTAAAATTAGAGTCTGTTCATTCCCTTTGTCCCAACCAAATTCCAATTCTTGTACAGAAGATCTAGGATCAGCAGGGCAATCGTTTGCAGATATTCATCTAAGTCGTTTAATGATACTTTCAATTTTGGATTTCAAACGGGTTTTCTGATTCTCACTCCAATCCTATATAGAATCTGCGCCGATGTCGAATCTGCAACTACCGGAGAGGATGTTTGCAGTGGGGGCAAGAACCTATTGGTGAAAGGGTTAATACCTACCAAAAATCGAAGACAGTCCAGGCTATCATTAATGCCCTCGATGATGACGAAGTGAAGCGGCTCAGGGAATCTCAGTTGGGAAGACTCTTAGCGACCATGGAGATGCCTTCTTTCTCTGGCAGTTTTGGGTACTATATGCTTGCTCGCCTCCTTCGTGTCAAGAAGAAACACGAGCTTTGGTTCCTGTTCGCAGGCCCCATAAGATTCTCGCTTCGTGAGTTCGCTATTGTAACCGGGCTAGGGTGCAGGAAGTTTGCACAGACAAAGAAGAAAAAGAACCTTGTGACCCAGAAACCCTATTGGCTCGAACTCTTTGGCCTTCTCAAATCGTGCACCGTCGAGTCCATGATTAACATGCTAGCAAGGAAGAAAATAACCGATAAGGAGAAGCGATTTAAATGTGCCTGTCTCGCAGTTACTGCCGCTGTATTGGTTCCGACATCACATGTTACGAAGATTGTCCCGGAGCATGTCGAGCTGATTAGGGACATCGATGTTTTCCTGTCATATCCATGGGGAAGGGTGGGGTTTGACTTGTTGGTTTCCAGCATTAGATCCAAGGACAAGTTAGAGTTATCACAGAAGACTATAGCCGTCAAAGGTTTTTTCTACGCGATCCAGTTAGTGATGATGGCAGCCGTCCCGTCATTGACAGAAGTGGTACAAGAGCCGTCTGGTGATTCAGATAGCGATGGGGAGGAGGAGTCTGATTTTTGTGATGAGCAACTAAGCGAATAAGAATGTAATCCGGCGCCTGAGGACTCAGTTAATGGTGAAGGCGGACCGGCGGCCGGTTAAATAAAGATGACGCTTAGTCCCGGACATGCTCGCGACATTGACGAGGAAGAGAAGGTAGTTAAATTCTATCGTAATATCTTACTTTTGGATATATCACGTACTAATTTTGTTACAACGCTAATACTTCTCGTAACTGTTAACAAAAAAGAACAAAGTAATATAAACGTTATAGTCTACACATTTATATACTCGTTATAATTTCTGTTATCATAGGTTTTAGTTCATTCCATCATTCCTACCAACGAAGACTATGCTATCGAAGGCATGGACCTACGGTGGCCTGATGAAGAAGTGGACGCGCCTGTTGAAGTTAATGTCAAGCTTATAGGAGAAGGCTTTAGGTTTACGAAGGACATGTTTACGGTGGGTTGACATCGGCCGACTTACTCCGTATGCGTAACGACAAGGCAATAAAAGAAAAAGAAGTGCATGACAAGAAGAAAAAGGATAAACCTGCCGAAGGTTCGGGTATTACTACACTGCTTGTTCCCGAGACTATTGCCGAGCTGGTGGCACTCAAATTAAAGGGTGAGCTGCAGAGTTTGAATAATAGGTTGCGAGATTTGGAAGCTGCATTAATCTTGCAGGGCGAGAAGATTACAGTGGCTTTAAAGTCCTTGGAGGCGTCTGTTCTCGCAAATTCATCGCATTCTGGCCCCTGCACTCAAGATGCGCCTGTGATGGAGGACTTTACACGGGAACGTTGTGACTCCGAGCGGTCAAACATTCACCCGTCTACAGCGAACCCTCCGCCACCTGTAATGACAGATCCCGACAACCACCCTCTCTGTACTGTTACTGGTAGCACTGTCCATCCCCAACCTTTCTCGTCTCGTACTTTCCAACAACCCCCTCCCAGCTTCAAACCTATTTTGAAGGCTCCTAGCCTTGCAATAAGTAATGAAGAGTTCATTCAGAATCTCACTCAATCCATAAACGCCCAGGTAAGTGGTACTCTTTTAAAATTACGAGAAATTTATTATTTAAGATTGTTACCTCATATTTTTTCTTAGGCCTCGGAACCATCCCGCTTTTCTGGATCTTTCACTGTCATACCGAATTCTTGTCCTCTTTCTCTAGCCCCGCCTACCGTGTCGACATTACCAGTGTCGTCTCTACCTGTTCCCGAGGTATTAACTCTATCTCCACTTCCCTTAGTTCAATGTGTTATACAAGCGTACCTAACCTTTTCTGTAACTCTGCAAATATAATATTAACGGTATAAAAAGAAGTTTAACACTTATTTTCTTGGATCTTAGGACAACTATCTAAGCCACGTCGACGAATTCAACAGTTCAACCGTGCTTGGTGGAAACAATAAAGCGGTACTTACCTGAACTCTTGATGCACAATCTTAATTGTCGACTACACCTTATCAATTGCATTAATGATGTTCAGATTGAATTACTCCTATCTGTATCCCCCACCTTCTCTCTTGGACTCATACAAGAAGACCAGATGGCTGACCATGAACCGGACTACCTAAAAGACCCCTTTGTTGATGATCAGGTTCATCTCCCTACAGGATGATGGACTGATATTTGAAAATCCTGTGTTGAAGATGCTCATGCAGAGTCCTCTTGTCGACGAGCTGGTGAGCGTCGAGAGGCATGTTTGCGTCGAAGTCATAGTATTGATTTTCCGAACTTGAGGAAGCTGAGGCAACTTCTTTAGGAGGGTTTCTACTGAGCATGTCAGCAAGAGTGTTCTGCGTACCCAGGATTCGAAGTCGTATTTCGAAAACCATTCGCTCCAGCGCAATAATTGTTGATGTGGGACCATCTTCTGCTTGAATTGTAACATCTTCGGAAAAGAAGACATATCCATTTCGATGCGAAATTTATGTCCTATCAGATGAAACTCGAACTTCTCGATAGCCTTCTTGACCGCTAAGATTTCTTTGAATGTAGAGTGATAATGCATCTCGGAATCTCTAAAGCGTCCGCTCTTGTATCCACAGATTTGACGTTTACCATTTATTTCTTCGAATAAAATGGCTCCCCAATATTTGTCACTTGCGTCAGTCTGCAGTATTCGTAGGCCTGTAGAGGAATCTTTAAAGGTGGTAGCTTATGTATCTCCTTTTTTAGGCTTTTGACTGCTTCGGTTTGTTTGGTAGCCCACGTGGGTGGATTCTTTATCAACATCTTCTGGAGTGGTCTAGTCATTTGCGAAAGTTGCGGAATAAAGTCGCTGATGTAATTAATTACCCCAAGGAATTGTTGGACTTGTCTTCGCGTGAGATTTTCGTCGGGAAAATCGAGGAGTGCTGTAGCTAAATGGGCTTGCGGTGTGAATTTTCCTTCTGTGATTTGCATTCCAAGGAAGTCGATGTTGGGCTGGGCTATTATCATCTTTCGGGCCGAGAGCATAATTCCATATTCTTCAACTATGCCTTGAAATTGTCGGAGAGACCGAATATGATCTTCTTCGCTTGTTGAGAATAACAGAATATCGTCGATGTATATTAAAGCCGTGTGGAGAAGAGGCTTAAATATACGAAGCATCGCTTGCTGAAATAGCGATGGCGCTGTTTTTAATCTGAAAGGTAGAACATTCCATTGGAGATGTCTGTTGGGTAGGCAGAAAGCTGTTTTGTATCTTTCATCAGGATGAACACCAAGTTGCCAAAAACCAGATTTTAAATCAAACTTGGAGAATATGGTGGCTCCTTGTAGGTGTTGAAAGAGTGCCTTCTTGTTTGGTAGAGGAAACTTGACGTCTTGTAGATATTGGTTCAGTGGTTTGTAATCAATTACCAGTCTGAGTTTTCCTCTTGCTTGTTCTGTCCGGTTGTTCACATAGAATGCTTTACATGCCAAAGTGAATTTGTTGATGAGACAACTCCTTGTTTCACTAGTTGGTCACATTCTTCATTTGCTTGTGTCAATAATGTTGGTGGCATGCCTGCGTGACTTGCTTTTGTCGGAGTGGTATGGACATTCTCCTTGAAAGGTAAAGAGACGAAGAATTCTGAATTCAGCCATAACGGTTTGTCACATTTTGAAGGAAGTCTGTGTGAGAGTCTGCACATGAGACTATTGCGATCTCTTCATTGATTTTCTCGAAATCTTGAGATATGACTCCTTCGACCGTGAATAGACGTGGGATTGTTGTAAAATCTTTGTAGAAAGCCTTCCATCTCATTCCCCGTGTCTCAATAGATATATCAAAATTTTTCTTGAAGGTGTGATAGGAATCCCATCCTAATATCAAATCTTTTCTTGGTGCTGAGGATCCAAGCACTTCTGTTGTAATCTGACAGCCTGGGAAAAGTTCGATCGTCACCGGTTTGGACTTGAGTTTGACCGTCAATGAACCCGAGTTTGCTACTCGAAATTCTTGTTGATGTGGTAGCCACATAGAAGTCGGGAGAATTTTAGGGTTCATTATCGTCGTATATGCTCCTGTGTCGATGAACGCAATTGCATGAACTGGCTTCTCTTTTTGTGGTGGATGAAATATCGTAACTGGCAGATGTGGTGTTTGAATTTCTTCTTTTTGCGGCATACGAGTGATTTTAAAACAGCAGTCATTATTGACTTCTTCTTCTGAGGAGGAGGAGTCGGATGAGTAGTCATAATCCGAGTAGCCACATATGGCATCTTGTTCATCACTATCATAGGATAGTACTGATTCTAGATCGTGGCTGTCGAAATCGAGGTCTGGTGCGATCTTCGAGATTGAGCTGATTAAGTACTGCTTCTTTTTCTTCGACTTGTTTGGGCAGTTTTTTGCGAAGTGACCTTCTTTGCGACATAGGAAACACTTCGTTGTTTTCTTGAAGCTTCGTTTCTTTCTGAAAAATCGCTTGCGTCTGAACTTGTTGAAACGCTTGTGAGACGTTTTTCTGAATCTCCGTGATTTGCTACGATCATCACACGAACATGTCTTCTTGGATTTTGAACATTGGATGGATAGGTCTGGTCTTGCACAGATCCTGGATAGTTGCTTTGATTTATCCATGAATTCCATCCAAAGCTCTTTTTGCTTGCAGAGTTTATCTAGTGTTCGGAAGACATATTGCTGTATTTGGCCAATGGAAATATCTTCCACTGTCTGGCTTTGATCTCTTATGTATAGCTTTGTTTGTTGACTGAGGTAGTCATCAATCGAAGAGAGATGCACCTGCTTAAGGCTTGGATTGTTGAAACCATTAAGAGCGTAATAACGTCGCGTCTGTCGCTCAAAATGCTTAGCTAGGTCTCTTTTCTTCAATGAGCAGCATTTCGCAGTAAAGAACTCTTCTTGAAGCTGTTCTTTCAAATGTGTAGGTGTACCGATAAATTCTCTATGAATTTCTCCGAGAAGTAGCGGTATTGTCGTTTGATAGACTTGCTGCTGTCTGTATTCACCAAGTGAATTCCACCATTCTTTGAGTGCTCCAGATAGTCGGGCCGTAAACTGCTGAATCACAAGCTCTAAGGGAGACGTGATTGCTTCAGAATTCATCCATGCATGAAATTCATCGAGACGATCATTCCATTTTTCGAAAGGAATGTCATCAAACGTGAAGACCATGACTTTAGAGGCAAATGGTCTTGTTGGTATTTCTTGCTGCCTGGGAGGCCTGTACTCCATATCTTCATCGCTTGAATAGATTTCAAGTATATCAGGTTCTCGTTTTGGAGTTGATGTTTCGCCTCTTTCGTCGCCTATGGCAAATTGGTTTGGGAGAGTTCTTCATCCGAAGTTGATTCAGAACTGTTAGAATTAGTCTCCGAATAATGACCGATATTTGCAATTGGTGTTGCAATTTGTTGAAAAGGTTGTGTTTGTGGCATCTCCGTGGCTGTTTGAGCAGTAGAAGTCTGTCCCATAGTATCTAACAGACTAGCCATAAAGAATTCAATTATACCAATTTCTTTTCCTTCTCTTTTAGAATCTTCCACTGATTCATGGCTTGACGAAGAAGTAAGTGTTGGTCGTTTGGTAGGATTGACCATAAACTCGGAATCCTTCTGTCGTCTTGGTTTTGATCTTGACACCTTTGGCTTGCTAGCTGAGGTCATGCCATATCTTGACGTAAAGGCTTCGTCAGATGATAGAAATCCGGGGGCCGGTGTTCTTGGTCTTTGATTTGTATAGCCGGATAGAAATCCTGGGGAGTAGGTGCCTTGGTACATAGGCATTCCACCGAAAGGATTGGAATAAGAACTCGTAGGATTCTGATTGTAAATCATACTCTCGAGGCTTCTTTGAAGATCTTTTAGCTGGGCTTTGAGACTGGCTGTCTCTGCTTCTTTATGACGGAATTGTGTTGTATTGACCATCATGTTTTGTGCCATAGCCATCATTTCGTGATGAAGATTGTTAAGCCGGCCATGGATCTCTGTTATTGAGCTCTGAAGGCTAGTTTGCCTTTTGATGTAATTTTCCGTCAGCTGATCAACCTTGTAATTTATTGTTTTGAGGAGTTGATTTTGAGCGATGGCATTCTCAGTTTGCCAGTTGAGGACCTTTTCTCCTTGGCTTAGTTGATCTGGTCCAGAAGAGTTGATTGCTCGAGTGAGTATCTTCGGGCTATGTGCGATGTTGTCCTTGGTAAAGTCGCTTGAAGGAGGGAAGTCTTCGTTGTTGATCATCATGATTTGATTTTCATCTTTCTTTTCCGAATATTGGACTATAAAGTCATATCGCCCGTTTCCTTCACCGAGAGGACCGACGGTGGGATCTCCTTCTAAATATCTTTTGTAGAGCGGATCCTTCTTCTTTCTTCTCCTTGTGCGAATCTCGTCATCAGATTCGTACATGGCTTCTTCACATGCTGAGCAGGAACAGATATCGAAATATTGATGTCCATCTTCATCTTTGAAAGGATATAGTACCAATCCGTTTTGTCCAAAAGAGATTGGTTTAGGATTTTGTTCTTTTGCTGGACTATAGAATTCGCATTCGTCAATTTGAATAGCAAATTGAGTGAACAGTTGTTTGCGGAATGACGATGATCTTGGTTTTTCGAACTTGATTTCGGTTGTACCATCATTTCGTGAATGAAAGCTGACTTCGGAGGATTGAATCGGTGTTTGAACCGCTTGATGCAGCTTCTCGTAGCTGGTGATCCATGATTCTGGTAGTCGGCGGAGCAGCTCTTCGCGAGATATTTGACTAGGAATCTGGATGGAGTTTGGTGCTTGAGATGCTGAAGTGACTTCTAGGTAAAGTGCTTCATCAGAAGAGGGTAGTACAAGATCTAAGGCATGATCTTGGATTCGATAAACTATCTGATGATGAAGGGTCGCCACGACACTTTTCTCTTGCATAGGAGCTCCGATGAGCTGAAGTTGGACCTTGAGTGTCTTCAGAAGATTTGGATCTTGTAGCGAGACATTAAAACCTCGTCAGTTGTTTATAAGGATTACCATTGTGGACTCACTCGGACGAATCCATTGAAGATTGTGTTCGCGATGCATTGTGATCCTAAAGTTAATTATGTAGCTTGATTCACGGATCTGAAAGCGAAGCTCAGCACAGACTGGTAATGTACCCTTTATATATAGAGTTAGACTGCTACAAATGTTATTAACTTCTATAGATCTTACTAACCCCTCTGAATTCTCTATTTCTCAGCCGCCCTGTTAAGGTTTATGAGGGTTCAAGCGTGGATACCAAAGATGTTATCGACATCGGCGAGAGGACAGGAGTGCTTCCTCCTAAGGTATCTACCTACATCACACCCCTTATTTTCGTAAGCACAATCGCTATGAATATCTGTTTTTCTCAGGTCGTTGATGTTGTCATGTATTACATCCGCCATGTTTCCGGCCCCCAAATGTACCCGCTGAACTACAACAAGATTGAGTTCTTCGACACAAATTTCCTTGTCCTTATCAAGAATCATTATGTGAAATTTACAAAAAGACTGCTGTTAAAGACCGTTCGAAGTTCAAGTTCCAAAGCTCTTTAATGTCCTACTTCGAACAGGAAAACCCTCAATGCCCCATCCCTGAAGTCATGTACTTTCCGTTTATATTCGACAAGCATCACTGGATCGGCGTCTGCGTTAA